CAATACGTAAAACCAATGTTACTTCTGTATTCCAACAGTAAAATAAATGTATGTGCCGTTTACAAAAAAAAAAATTACTAATATATAAACTTAGTTTCCGTAACTGCAATACGCATCAGGTACATGTACATGTCAGAAAAGTGATAGTCCATGTCGAATCGATATATCCCAGTGAACTTGAAATAAACGATACCACAGAGTCTGACACATCTGTTTCATATTTGGAAATTTTACTAGAAAAAGACGTTAATGGTTACATGTAAATCATATACGTTATCAATTTTGATGCACCAGATGCGCTTTTCGACAAATTATGTCTCTTCAGCGATGCCCATGCCGAAACGTTGAAAAATCCAAAATATTTAAATAAAAAAAGACTTGGAAGTATGGAATTCCATATACGACAGCCAACTGCTTACTGCCAACTGCTCACTGCTTACTGCCAACTGCTCACTGCTTACTGCCAACTGCCACACATATTTGAATAAATTTTCATATTTATATTGATATTTATGTGAATTTTCATAAAACCACGCGCGGATCCAGGATTTTTTTACAGGATGGGTCCACCCCAGTAAAAAAAATCCAACCCAGAAATTTCTTGACAAAAAAAAAAACAAAAACAAAAACAAAAAAACAAACAAACAAACAAATAATAAAAAAAAAACAAAAAAACAAAAAAACGTAAACTCCTTTCCTAAACGTAAAAAAAAACCTATTTCGGCGGGGAAGGGGAGGGGTTGACATCTTATGCTTCATATCAATGACTTTTCATATCAACTTAACACGTACCCACGTTTTCTAGGAGGGGGTTCCAAGGTCACCGTGGCTTTTAGTTGGTATAGTATATACATTAAATAACTCTACAAATTCCAGGGGGTGGTCCGGACACCCACCCACCCCTCCACCGACCCCTCCCCCCTCTAGATCCGTGTATGTAAAACATAAGTTATTTGGGAAAACAAAGAGATATAGATCTTTAGTTTGAGAAAATATTTCGCTATAGAATTTAACGGAAAATGGAAATTTATTTTCAAAACATCTTCCCCCGCGAAACAACAGATCCTTTTTTCAGTTTTTATTCATTCCAAAGGTTTTGTTGTCTCACGGGGGGGGGGGGGCTGTTTTTGAAGATTAAAAACAGGAAAATAGTCATTTTATTACCAATTTCAAATGAGATAACAAATAAAAAATGTACTTTATCATTTTATCAATCTCATATGTTAAATTTTACATAAGTTAAAATATACGGTGAGATTTAAGAGTCATTTATCCATTTTCATTTTCATGAGTATTTGAAAATGGTGATGTTTTCAGCCTGATTTCAATTGATAAAATTTTCTACCCCCTTATGAAAGGAGTTGTAAATAAGACCAATTAACTTATTGTCACTGGTTTTTAAGATTAGTTCTTAATACTAATGAACTTTTCTTTGCATTCAAACAAGTCTTTATGTCCAAATTGCCATTTATATTGAATTAAATGGATGGAAAATGTAGGCGGGAATCGAGAGTTAGTGTGCATAGTTCTTACAATATAACTAAATTTGGCGGATTAAGGAAATTTTAAACTGTAAAGGCGAGGAAGGAGTAAATCGGAAGAAGGAGTGTTTCCTCTTAAAAACAAAACATTTAATTTCTGCATTTCGTTGCAGGCAAATAATTTGGTAGCTTTTTTTTTGACGCGGGTAAAGGCGGGAGGGGTCACATACGACAAAAGAACAAATTTTTTAAAGGGTCTTGAGTAACATTTGTTGGTATATGTATTTAAAATAGAAATATTACTGAAAGTTATTATAACAAATAACTTTTGCCTAGTTTAAAATATCGAGTAATATCTTTCGGATTTTCTTTTTACCCTAGGAAAAGTACCTATGTGTGGGAATTTTTATATGTGTCTTATGTAATATATATATATATATATATATATATATATATATATATATATATATATATATATATATATATATATATATATATATATATATATATATATATATAAACTAGGCAAAAGTTATTTGCTATTATAACTTTCAGTAATACATTGTATTTCTATTTTAAATACATATACCAACAAATGTTACTCAAGACCCTTTTAAAAGTTTGTTCTTTTGTCGTATGTGACCCCCCCCCCCCCTTACCCGCATAAAAAAAGCTATCAAATTATTTGCCTGCAACGAAATGCAGAAATTAAATGTTTTGTTTGTAAGAGGAAACACCCTTTATTCCGATTTACTCCTTCCTCGCCTTTACAGTTTAAAAATTCCTAAATCCGCCAAATTTTGTTAGTATTGTAAGAACTACGCACACTAACTCTCGATTCCCGCCTACATTTTCCATCCATTTAATTCAATATAAATGACAATTTGGACATAAAGACTTGTTTGAATGCAAAGAAAAGTTCATTAGTAATAAGAACTAATTTTAAAAACCAGTGACAAAAAGTTAATTGCTCTTATTTACAACTCCTTTCATAAGGGGGTAGAAAATTTTATCAATTGAAATCAGGCTGAAAACATCACCATTTTCAAATACTCATGAAAATGAAAATAATTAAATGACTTTTAAATCTCACCGTATATTTTAACTTATGTAAAATTTAACATGAAATTGATAAAGTGATAAAGTACATTTTTTATTTGTGATCTCATTTGAAATTGGTAATAAAATGACTATTTTTCTGTGTTTAATCTTTAAACACGTGCCCCCCCCCCCCCCGGTCCCGTGAGACAACAAAACCTTTGGAAAGAATAAAAACTGAAAAGAGGATCTGTTGTTTCGCGGGGGAAGATGTTTTGAAAATAAATTTCCATTATCCGTTAATTTCTATAGTGAAATATTTTTTCAAATTAAAGATTTATATCTTTTTATTTTCCCAAAAAATTAAGTTGTTTTACATACATGGATCTAGAGGGGGGTCGTTGGGGGAGGGGTGTCCGGACCACCCCCTGGAATTTATAGAGTTATTTAATGTATAGACCTATACTAAACCAACTAAAAGTGACCTTGGAACCCCCCCCCCCCCCCCTAGAAAACGCGGATCTGTGTTAAGTTAGTATGAAAAGTCATAGATATGAAGCATAAGATGTCAACCCTTCCCAGCCAAAATAGGTTTTTCACGTTTAGGAAAGGAGTTTACATTCTTTTTTTTGGGGGGGGGGGGTTGGTCAAGAAATTTCTGGGTTGGATTTTTTTTTTTACTGGGGTGGGCCCTTCCTGTAAAAAAAAAATCCTGGATCCGCGCCTGGATTTATGAAAATTTACATAAATATCAATATAAATATGAAAATTTATTCAAATATGTGTGGCAGTTGGCAGTGAGCAGTTGGCAGTAAGCAGTGAGCAGTTGGCAGTAAGCAGTTGGCTGTCGTATATGGAATTCCATATGGAAGAGCTAAAAAAAAAAAAAAAAAAAAAAAGGTGCCAAAGACTGGAGCCAAATACATCGAAGGATCAGAGCTATGCCTGAGGGAGATAATCCTTAATTTTGAAATAAATTTCTAAATTTTACCACAGCAAATAAATATATATCCGTATTTCCAAGGTAGTACCGACCTATAAATTGGCCAAAGAAATATATCTATGTCTATTTATTTTCGAGTTTAACCATACAAACGCGCAACGTATACATGTATACATCGTATATATACAACTTTTTGTCCGCATCACATTGTACATGAAAATTAATTCTCAGAATTTTCACTATTACATGTATCAGGACCTGGGGCTTCATATAATCACATACCTATGCTTGTTCATACATAGGTAGCAAATTAAACGACCCTTTACTGTTCTTTAATTACAATACTAGTATATGAACTTTATAATGAAAATAATAAGAAAAAAATCTGGATGTATGTATCATTTTAGATACCTCTGTCGTGTTTATGCTCCCGGCAAACCAGAGTTTGATATAATATCATTTGGCTTATTTTAATTGTTATAACTTTTATTAATTTCTTTAAAAAAAATGTGATAGTTAAGTATGAATAATATTTCAATACCTAACCATTTTTAATTTCATATGCTTCTTTTAAATGTTAAAAGAAGGATTAATCACAACATTAGAGTGATGTTCAGTCATAAGTAGAATATGAGTTGAAGGTTTTTGTAGGACCTTAATTGCCTATGATATAACGCTGGTCATGCCTGTACAGATATTTTTGAATGGGAAGTGTAAATTGAACTGATCACATATACTTAACATAGTGAGGGAGAAAATAATGTGTATATGCTATTTTGTACCTGTGGCTAGGTTGTACAGTGATGTGTATATGTATATGCTATATATCGTACATCTGTACCAGTATTTTGGTTTGAAGTGGAATGCACACATGTAGTTGTATCGTTATTAAGTAAAGTATATGATCAAATCTTTCTGCCGATTTGTCAGCATTATATACACATATTTATTACATTCGGAACAGTATCTAACAAACGGACATTTTTCATGAAGATTTATTAGTTAATTTATTAATTCATCTATTTATTTATTCATTCCACTTGAGGGAACATAGGGCGATAAAAAATGAACAGCAAGGACTTTCATTTTAGTATATTTATTTATATATTTAGATCGGGATCGGATGATAATAAAAATAATAATAAAAAAAATAATAATAGACAGATGTATATTTCGCAATATTTCACATATATGTTTAAATCTTTTATAATCAAATGTAAACTGTCATAAAATTCCAATTATTGTTAGTAACATATTGCTCTAAAATATTGTGCTCTGTATGACCCAGATCGGAATGCAATAAATTGCAGAATCTGTGATTTGCGCGGCAGACGAAGTTGACAGTCGTTGCACTATTAGCCTTTCATGTTTGAAAATAATTGGCGTACAATATGAGAGAATGGTGCAATTTTTTATAATCTATTCATTGTAATTTTTATAAATTGGTAAGTTATTCTGGATGTCATGCGTCTAGAACAGTACAGGAAGTGAATCTAATGTAACATTCTTAAGGATTTCCATGCCGTGTAATATTGTAGGTCCATCATAGTTTCCAGACATGGACAGTTTGTCAGACGTAATCTTGTGTTGTCGCGAGCTCTCAAGTGAAAAGGTCACGGAAAGAAAAGTAAGGAACTGTGTTAATGAAGATTTTTTTTGTTTTTACACTTAAACAGTGTTAAAATGTATACAAGGTAAAATACTTCCAATAAACCCAAGGTATAGTGGGTATTTGTACTTTGGGCGCCAAATGTCACAGGTGGCAGGGATAGACATTAACTTTCAGATTCACTTGCCCTTCGGGCAAGTGATCTCAAACTTTGACTTGTCCAAATGCAAAACTTGGTTGCCAAAAATTAGGTAAGAACTTAAACTAAGAAGAAAATTATTTATTACTGTAAACCGTACAGTAAGAGAAAATGTGACCAAATACACTACTGTCAATTTGGCGATGCTGCATTTGTATATAAATGTATACCGCTGTACTTGTAAATTTAACCTGTTGACACACACTGCCATTAGGGCTGTCATGGTTCCAAAATTTTTCGGGTCGGGTCGGTTCTGTAAATTTTCGGTTCGGTTTCGGGTTTTTCGGGTCGGGTATTTACATCTATTTTAAACCTTAATTTCATGAATTTAACTTGAAAATTCTTTATTTGTTACATTAAATTTAAACTGAAAACAAGTCTTAACCATGCGAACGTCTAGACATCGGTGACTTGGCCTACTATTAGCCACAACCTGACCATTCCTGCTCGTTTTGATAATTATCTAATACTTCCGTGACAAGTGTTTTGTCATGGAATGAAGTAGATTTCAGTTGTGATGTTTATTTATCACTGTTACCGTCATCATTCCTTTGATTTCGACACCATTTTTTGTATTGAACAGACTCTAATATATAAACCAGACCTGAACCGAAATCCGGAAAAATGGAACTGGAACCGAACCGAGCAACTTGGACCGCGGTTCTCGGTTATTTCGGGTACTCGTGACAGCCCTAACTGCCATGCAGTAATAACCCTCCGTTTCCTTTTAATAAAATTCATATTTTTAAAAATTATTTTCGGTAGAATCCTTTTGTGATTCGTCATTTTCAGAGATAACTGTGAAGCAACACTAAAGGAAGATAGTTGCTATGAAACATACATCTTATCTTGATCAAGATACATCATGTTACACAGTACTTATATTCTGTTTGTGAATAAATAATCTAATTTCCTAATAAGAATTTAACAAAATATTGTTAGACGTAGAGCGTATTTACTTCGAAAGAAAATAACCAACCTGATTTTTAAAATGAACGGTATATAATCCAGAAATGCTACCAAGGAATTTCGAATGCAAAAACATTGTCAGTCGGGTGCGTGGTGGAAACCAAGTGTTCATTTTATTGTTTTATTTATAAATTAATGTAAACTAAATAAATATGTACATTTGTATGAGAAAAATTCAGTTGCCTGATTGGACAACTACGTCGACAATTTCACTTGCCCGAACTGAGAATTAACTTGTCCCGGGCAATCGGACAACCGATAATGTCAATCCCTGGGCGGTGAAAAATCAAGTCTTAACTAGCACTCGAACCCATGGCCACTGGTGTGCCAGCAATTTAACCACTGAGCTATTGAGACACAATATATTGACTGACTTTCACACACCTGTGAACCTGGTGACATATTCCCCCTCTTTGTAGAAATTTTTCCTCGAATTCTATGAGTTAAGGAAATGCTGTAAGACATGTTCCTAGAAAATAGTGGGTACAAGGGGTGATCAAAAAGTTCACAAACTAAGGCCAAAAAAAAATATGTGTGGTTCCGGTTACCCGACCATCCCTATTTTATACCCCCGACCCTAAACTTTTTCTTGGCGATTTTCATATTTTTTCTGGAATTTTCCTAGATTTCTATCAATGGTTCCGGTTTAAGTTTTAGTTTCAGCAATGACAGCCTCCTTGCAAAACATAGTGTAAGTGTTTAATAGTATTAAATCCAAAGCAAGCTAGCATGTAGGTGTTCCCTACCAATATTGAATAGTATATATTATCAAACCACATCTAAAAGCCACTTGCAAAGGAGTGATAGGTATTATTTAGAAAAATTAAGAAAAATCATTTTGTTTTAAAAAAAAAAGACCCTACCTACCTACCCTAATTTTTTTGGAGGTGTAACCGGAACCACACATATTTTTTTGTTTGGCCTAAGTGAATTACTTCCTTAAAAGAAATAAAATCAGGATTCAGTGTTTATTATTTTGAAGTAGTCCTCTCCGATTTTAATGGATGTCTGCCACCGTTCTGCCCATGCCCGAATCATGTGATCCAGGCGGTCACATGACATACTCTGTGGCGCTCTGTTCATAGAAGTTAAAAGATTTTTTTGAGTCTTATTCTTCTTACAATGCAAGTTACTTTTTATAACAAGAATAGTCCATTTGTCACAAATGGCCAAATCTTGGCAATAAGATGGGTGGATAAGGATATTTTTCCCCAGAATGAGCATGGTAAACATCACAACCCCACTCCTTTGTCTTGGGTGCGTCGTTTATGCTTGTTGATAAAGTATGGGACATTCTTTTTATCATGTCAGATATGTTTAAAGTCTAAAGTAAACAATATTTTAGGGAATTAATAGTTATATTATTGTTCAGATATTCATCTACTTTTTAACTGTAACTTGGCGATCTTTCATAACAAATTGCTCAATAGAAGACACACCTCTTTCCCAGCTTACTTTCACTGGGCACCAGAACAAACATCATTTTTAACCTGATCTCCCTTCCTTCATGAAAACAATCATTCCAATTAATGATTAAACTTCTGGGAATTAAGTCTTTTGTCTTCATAAACCTTGTACAGATTATTATATGCTACTGCAAAGGAATTTCCAAGATATACGTTAAACTTTAAAGCCGTTCGTAGCTTGAGTACAAATAAGTCAACCATTTTTTGTCTCAAGTCAGGGCTCTTGATTCTCTATAATTGGGGCCGTTTAAAGGCCCCATTCCCAATTCAAAAAAGGTACCTTTTTTTCCCAATTTAATGTTTTAATTTTCCCAATTGGTCACTTCCCCACATACATGTATTAAAGAACATTTAGTAAAATATGTAGTTCCTAAACTTGTTATTCTATTTCTCTATATAACAAAACAGAAATTTAGTTGATAACACCCACCAGAAACTCAATATATAATGAATTTAATGGATATTGTCTAGTTATGATTTTCCCAAATTTCCTCAAAAGTTCGTTAATTTTCCCAATTTTCACGGCCCCGGCCCCAGTCCCAAAAACTGGTGTGAGAGCCCTGCAAGTCATCTACATATTGATGTCATTTTCACATTGTGACGTCACAAACATGGAGCAAACATTATGTAATATCTGCTATTTATAGAACATGTTTATGACTATATGTGTATCAAATTTCATTTTGATCTGAATTGTGGTTTTGTAAATATAGAGATGGTTCGCGAACTTTTTGATCACCCGTCATATTTTTACATTGGGAGCCAAATGTCTCAGGTGGTGAAAAATCAAGTTGCAACTGGCACTCGAACCCAGGGCGTCTGATGTACCGTGCCAGCGATCTAAGCTATTGAGACCTGATATATTGACTGACTTTCACACACCAGTGAACCCGGTGACAGATTATTAGTCCCCTACCGGTGAAACCGGAGGGGACTATAGGTTTCCTTTGAGTCTGTCTGTCTGTCTGTTTGTCTTTTTGGCCCACTGTCTGTCTATCAGTCTGTTGCACTTGGTTTTCTGCAGTTTTTTCTAAACGCTTGCAGATATCGAGCTTATTTTTGGTATGTGAGTGTATCTTGATGAGTTACAGATCATATTTGCATTTCATTCCGCTTCAATGATTTTTGACGGAATTGCGACCTTTTCAATTTTTCTGGGTTTTCCGCAATTTTTTTCTAAACGCTTGCAGATATTGAGCTGATTTTTGGTATGTGACTTTACTTTGATGAGGTATAGATCAAGTTTGCATTTTGTTTCGCTTCATTGATTTTTGTCGGAATTGTAGCATTTTTTAATATTTTATTAACGGGAATCAGATTACACTTGCTGGTAGGGGACTAGTATTGCTAATGCAATACTCTCAGAATGCTTGTTATAACTACTAGGGTGTAATCAGTTCCACGAATCAGAGCTCCAGATTAATTTTTAGCAGAAAGTGTATTTTCTCAGTGTTTTCCCTAAGAACTGGCTACCAGCCATATTTATCGCTTCAATTAATAGAAATGCCGCTTAGGAATCAAAAATTAAAAAAACAATTGTCGTAAGGTCCACAGAGATTTTGTTCATAAACATCAACACTTTGCCTGTTACAATTGATCTCTGATCCTTACTTTGAAATAAAGGAAAAAAAACCTGTTTACTCCCTGATTTTCAACCTAATGCTGATTTATTTCTCAGCAAAAATCTGAGAGTATTTTGTGAATGTTTTCACTGTTTCAGTGTTCGAAACTCGTCAGAATATTGTCTCGTCATTCAGGCAAGCTAGGTACTGATCTTAGGTGGCCTGAATGGGTTTCAGTTTGCCCAAGCAAAAATGTCAATAAGAAATTTAAAATGTACTTTCAGTTTCATACAGCATGTTGATGTATAGTATCTCTCTCCTTACTAAGTACATTATTTTCAGAAAAGGTTAGTTACTGTAAATGGGAAAGTAACACCTGTTACGTGTATAATTTTATGTTACTTGATATATCAAATATCACTTAAATTAAGCTCACCTGAGCCGAAGGCTCAAGTGAGCTTTTCTGATTGAAATTTGTCTGTTGTCTGTCATCATTGTTGTTGTTGTTGTTGTCGTCGTCGTTAACTTTTCAAAATTTCATCTTCTCCAGAACCACTGCCCCAATTTCAACCAAACTTGGCACAGAGTATCCATGGGTAGGGCGATTCAAGTTTTTTTTTTTTCAAATAAAGGGCCATGCCCTCTTCAAAGGGGAGATATAATACAAAATAGTGAAAAATTAATGGCATCTTTTCAAAATCTTCTTCTCAAGAACCAATGTTCCAGGAAAGATGAATTTCATGTAGAATCATTGTTAGGTAGTGTACATTCAAGTTTGTTCATATCATGACCCCCCGGGGGTAGGGTGGGGTCAGAATGGATGATCAAAGTTTTACATAGGAATGTATAGGAAAAATCTTTAAAAATCTTTTCAAGAACAGCAAAGCAATGATTGGTCATATTTATGTGAAAGCATCCTCAGGTGATGTAGATTCAAGTTTGTTCAAATCATGACCCCTTCGGGGGAGGGGGGGTAGGGGGGCCACAATGGACGATCAAAATTTTGCATAGGAGTGTATAGGAAAAATCTTTAAAAATCTTCTTCTCAAGAACAGCAAAGCTATGATTATTCATATTTATATGGAAACATCCTCGGGTAGTATAGCTTCAAATTTGTTCAAATCATGACCGCCGGGGGTAGGGTGGGGCCACAATGGATGATCAAAGTTTTACATAGAAATATATAGGAAAAATCTTTAAAAATCTTCTCAAGAACAACAAAGCCATGATTGGTATATTTATATGGAAGCATCCTCAGATAGTGTAGATTCAAGTTTGTACAAATTATGACCCCTGGGGGTAGGGTGGGGCCACAATGGACGATCAAAGTTTTACATAGGTGTACATGTATATAGGAAAAATCTTTAAAAATCTTCTTCTCAAGAACACCAAAGCTATGATTAGTCATAATTATATGGAAGCATCTTCAGATAGTGTAGATTCAAGTTTGTTCAAATCATGACCAATGGGAGTACACATACACATATGAAAGTTCAAACTTGTAGGAAAGAAAGCCACAATTAGTCAAAGAAATTTGTAAGCATTACTTAGTTTGTAGATTCAATTTTGTTCAAATCATAAACCCCCCCCCCCCCTTTTAGGAGTATGTCGGGACCTCTTATGCATTTAAGCTTTTCAATACTGAACTGATTTTTGCTTTTTTCTTAGCCACAATACTCAGGTGAGCAATGTGGCCCATGGGCCTCTTGGTTAGCTCACCTGAGCTGAAAGCTCAAGTGAGCTTTTCTGAGGCGTAATACAAAAATATGTTTCTTTACGGTTACCGGACTGACCCTATATTGAATCGCCGACCTAATTTTTTTTTTCGTTGTAAAAATCCGGAAGTCACTTGCCGGTCATTTCAACTTCTACCTGCAACTTATTGGTCAAGGGTTTGAAATCAAAATTGAAAATACTAGACACAAAAAGCACCACACAAAACAATGGTAAACCTGTTGTGTATTTCAACCAAATTATGTGAATTTGTGTATAAAAAAAAATTCAATAAAATAAATAGAAAATCCTACCTTCCGACCCTATTTCATTTCAGCATGTAACAGTAAACAAACATATTTATTTGATTGGCCTGATCACATTTTGTCTGTAGTCCATCCGTCCTTCTGTCTGTCTGTCTGTCTGTCTGTAAATTTTTACATTTTCAACTTCTTCTTTAGAATATGAGCAAAAAAACTCAAACGACAAATCTGAGTTTGAGAAAAAAAATTATTTAGGGGCAAAGTTCGTTGAGAAAAACCCAAATTTTCTGAGAAATCTCAGATTTGAGAAAAATCTCAGCATTGGTGGCACAGAAGCAATAAATATATATAAAAAAAATCAAGATTCAAAATATATCATCTTTTAGAAATTGAAATTTTAAACAGATTTATAATCTTATTAGTAGTTTTATATAATCATGATAAATGTCATAACAAATAAAACACACGGTTTACTCAGTTATCAAATTAATAATAATATACAACTAAAATTCCTTTCTATTGAACTGAAATTTAAGCAAGTGTAATTCTTTCTTTAATTATAGTAAAATATCAGCAGATTCATTAAAACTTAAATATATAGGCTTACATGTGTACTTATCAATTTTTTAGGCACTTGTGACGATAACTATAAACAATACAGGGCCTTTAACTATGTAAATAGAAAGAAACGTAAGAAATATCCTATTATTAGGGCCCCGCAAGGATTTGCGGGTACCCAATAGTAATCACTCTGTCTGTCCGTCTGTCCATCCATCTGTTTTTTTTAGGGTTGACCAATTAAGTTTGGTGATTATAGATATGATTTTTTTTACTGCCTTATGTAAATACAAGGATACTATTTACAGGTTGTTGGATATTCAGCAGTTGCTGTTGCTTATTCTTCATATATTTTTACATTTTTGTAATCAAGTAAAATTCTCATTCCCTAATCTGCACCCTTATATTTCTACCCCTCGGCTGGGCCCTTGCTGACTGGTCAGATTTCTAGTTTTAAATTACGAATCAAAATGGTGTTTCCAATTCGATTCGATAATAGATAGTGTTTTCCAACCAGTTCTGAAACACTAGTGATGTGCCATTAGTGATAGTCTAAATTCAAAATGGCTGCCTTAGTAACATGATGCTTCAGCAGGGATTTTTTTTACCCTTTGATTCCAGGGGCCGGGGCCGTCAAGATTGGGAAAAATAGCGATATTTGGTTGAAATTAGGAAAAATATCTTCATACAAATAAATAGTAAAAAACAAGCAAAAGTCAAATATTTAATCATTTTTCTAATTTTTTATAGTATGAAGCTGGCTTAAACCAGCTTTAGTGATATGAAATAATAGCGGCTGTTGAAGTTCAGAAGCTTAAAAATCGCAAAGCCGCAGGGTATGATAACATTGTAAATGAACATATTTATACGTTGTCATCTTTTTTATCTTTATGTAAGAAGTTCTTTAAAATAACATTTGATAGTGGGTTTGTTCCAGATGAGTGGTTTATCGGTATTGTTTGACCAATTTATAAGAATAAGAGCGATTCAACCCAGCCTAAAAAAATTACCGTCCTAGGCAAACTGGAGAGACTGACATGATGCATTTATTTTTTAGATAACGATCCCTACTTTAATTTTTAAACATCGATCCCACTTTAAAAAGTATGCATGCAAACATCCGTAGTATTCCGAATAACTTCTCTGAAGTCCTCGGATGGCTCGTACATCGCACATAGAGAACATAAACACCTTTTTGTCATTATTTTATTTTAATAATTTACAACTTAATATTTTTTTCATATTGGGAATTTTTAGGTATGATTTTGGGAAAAACATGCACTTTTCAGCATTGGGAATGGGGCCAAATTTCGGCCCTGGAGAGACCCTAAAAAAATCCCTGTTCAGAGAAATAAAGCATAGAAATGAAATTACAATAATTTTCTGTAGTTTTATATCTGTTTCTTTTATTCTCAATTCTTTATGCTTAGTATGCCATTTGTTTATATTAGAAATTCACAGCAGCCGAAAATAACTGTTGCTTCTAAATTGTGACAAGTGACGGTCATGTGGAGATGCTATAACTACTGTATAGGGGATTAATTTTGCAGGTTGTAATTTTCACGTTTTTCTCTCCTTTGACACGATCGCTGTTTGTTGAATTCGCAGAATCGGTATATAATAAAAGTTACCTCCCTTGTCTATATCTGTTTAATCTATGGCATAGCTAGAACGACATTAATCAGCATTATGTATTCGCTTCACGTACAACAGGGTAGGTTTTTATAAAATACTTAGATTTAATAATTAATTGACAACTAATTAAAACAAGTGCAGTTATTAAAAGTCCTCAACTATAAACGTCGAATGACTTTCCTATAAGCTATTACGATGAGTGCATGTACACCCCAAGATCTTCTTTCCGAAGGGATAATACATCGCGGCAAAAAACCACTGAACGGTAATCTTGAAAAGTGTTAATGTAGGTCGACGAAATAATATCCTTCCACATCTTCAGCAAGATCGATAGTTATTTGAATGAATTTTTAAAACAAAATGTCGATAAAAACATGATAATGCAGGTAACAAATACACGTGGTAACATAGTTACGCAATCAAAACCCATGACCCACGTGTTTTGATTGATGAAATATGTAGCGTTGGCTATTAAAATAGCTTTTTTACAAATACAGGTTATTATCTGCTGATCTAAATTGAAGCGTGATAATTAAAATAATTGAATGATGAGTACGACTCTTAATTACTGAAATGACCATGTACTACACGAATATATACCTATTGTAGTCTATTCTCAAATTTCCAAAAATAACATGGAGGTTATTGAAAACTTATTCACTGTTTCTTGAATTCAGGGATTTATTAACACCGTGAATATAGCGAATATATTAACAACGTGAGTTATTTTCCCCCTATACAGTATATAGTACATGTATTAAAATAGTCAACATTGATGCAATGGTTATAAGTCACAGTGCCGATGAACTCGTGCGAAAGTTAAAGAGAACATGATGAAAATTAAATTTGGAAGATTGCTAATGACACAATACTTTAGCTAGGCCATTGATTTTTTTCAGGTTAGTTCACCTTATCGGGTTTCAGGTCATCATTCCTGAATCCACCACACTTACCTCATAAAGACATTTTGGTTAACTCATTTTATTAAGAAAAAAATGACATGGAATCAATTTGATTTTTTGAAGAATTTGGAATAATGTTTGATAGTCAAGAAAAAGTACAGAAACTCAAATATTGTTCTTTGTTGTAGAGGAGTGTAGAGAAGCTGAAAAATTTGCTTAATAAAAAGTCTGTGGTAAGCAGTTTGGATATAAATTCACAACAGAGAATGGGAGACAGGAACATTCTCACATGGGATGGCATCATTAGGGTAATGTATCTATATCACCTCCTTGTCTGCTATAAGAGTGATGTTTTCTGTCTATAGGGTAAACTAATTGCAAGTCAAAGGCCTATTTATATTCATCAACGATGTTGACCACAGGTGCTTTATGCATACTAGGATGAATCTTAGATGTTTACCTGAAGAGTCATTTTAGCGATTGTTAACTGTGAATGAAACAATTGTTGAAAAGCCTGAGATGTTAAACAGATCGCACGTTGAACACATTGGACCACAAGTGGAACTGCTAGATAAGAAGTTGATTACCATTTATTCTGAGTAACACCAATTATGAGTACTTAAAATCCACCTCTGATGTCACTCTTTTGTTTGAGCGTTCCATTTTTTTTAGCTCACCTGAGCTGAAAGCTCAAGTGAGCTTTTCTGATCAACCATTGTCCGTCGTCCGTCCGTCTGTCCGTCTGTAAACTTTTCACATTTTCAACTTCTTCTCAAGAACCACTGGGCCAATTTTAGCCAAACTTGGTACAAAGCATTCTTGGGCAAAGGGGAGTTTAAATTATTAAAATGAAGGGCCAAGCCCCCTTCCAAGGGAAGATAATCAAGAAAAGACAAAAATAGGGTAGGGTCATTAAAAAATCTTCTTCTCAAGAGCCACTGGGCCAGAAAAGCTGAAACTTATGTGGAAGCATGCTGGGGTAGTGTAGATTCTAAATTGTTCAAATGTTGACCCCCGGGGGTAGGGCGGGGCCAAAATAGAGAATCCAAGTTTTTACGTTGAAATATGTAGAAAAAATCTTTAAAAATCTTTTTCTCAAGAACCACTGGGCTGGAAAAGCTGAAACTTAAGTGGAAGCATCCTGGGGTAGTGTGGATTCTAAATTGTTAAAATCATGACCCCTTGGGGTAGGGCAGGGCCACAATAGGGAATCCAAGTTTTACATTGAAATATGTAGTAAAAAATTTTAAAAATCTTCTTCTCAAGAACCACTTTGCCAGAAAAGCTGAAACTTAAGTGGAAGCATGCTCGTGTAGTGTAGACTCTAAATTGTTCAAATCATGACCTCCGGGGTTAGGGTGTGGCCACAATAAGTACTACAAGGGGGGGGGGGGGGAAATCAGGTGAAAAACAACAAGGCCAAAGTTACTCAGGTGAGCGTAGTGGCCCATGGACCTCTTGTTTCAGGAGTGGAGAGGAGCAAATTTCATTGAAAACAGATTTTGTTATGTTCATATTCTTTCCATGCCTCTACCGGGGAAAGAACTTGAAAAATTTTAATAAGTTTATTCATATAAGGAAAACAAATGTACTACTGCTGACAATCGAACCAGGTACCCTCACCTTCGTAGTCAGGTACTCATCTCACAGTGCTATTGAGGCTGTTGAAAGACAGGGGATTTAAATAACTTAATTCAGTTACATTTTGTCTTTCTCTCTCTCTATATATAAATTACATACTACAGTCTGTACTAATACATTAAATATATATTTACAGTGTATCTTATAAGTATTCTTTATTATATATTAACAAACAATTATTACAAGCATTAAAAAGGGTGGATTTTAAGCGGGTTAATATAGTCATAGCACTTTAATCCTTAAAAGTAATGGGCCTTGGCCCCTCTGGGGCCTCGGCTCCATTACTTTTAAGGAATGAGCGCTACTCATACATTAACCCAAACATAATTGTTGATTAGTACAGGTAAACTTCGGTATCTCGAACACCGATATGTCGAATGCCACGGATATCTCGAAGTGAGTCAACGGTCAAGGCCGTTTTTACTATATTTATGATTTTAAAAACCCCCGCTATCTCGAACACGGAAATCTCAAATTCCTCGCTTATCTCGAAGTAGATTTACGGTCCCAAGTGCTATAAACACATGCGTTATCTCGAAGTCCAATTAATTTCTTGCTCCACTGAATTCACAGCACAAGCTTCATGGGACCATTGCTGATAATCACACCTTTTTAGCCCCAAGCTGTTGTTTTTGGTAGTTAAATTTAATTACGCAGGCCAGGTGATTTGGAGGTGTTAAGAAGCTGTACACTCGGACATAGGATGACACGATAATGAAACAGCGGCTTGGGGATGATTACTGTAATAGGAATTTAAATCTATCGGAAATACACGCTTATACACATTATTACATATCAAAGTAAGCACTGAACACATCAAAGTGATATTAAATTCAAGAAATTAAACAATTAAAGACATTATCATGATTATTTTGAGTATAAATGTCAGTACCAAAAATCCAAATCTTCAGTACACATCATGTCTGATAAGCAATCTAATGAAGGACCTGCTAGCCAACGCCGGGGGGGGGGGTTGGGGGTTGGGGGGGGATAGTTCGATTATCTGACCGTGGTGTAAAAAGAAGACTTAAAGTTCATAAAATCGAAACAAAGTTTCAGGCTATTACAGAAGTCGAAAAAGGTACAGAATAATAAACACACTTTTATCTGTTGATAAATATTATAAATTGTAGTGCTTTTGTTTATGGTTATTGGCAATTTCAATAAATTATTGTAGAACGATAATTCCTGTTTCCGTCTTAATCCTTATTACAGTGATCGGTTTCTCATGTACAAAGAGTAACACATATCCGTGTATCAGAAATCCTGATTATCGCTATGAGAGCAATCGAAATTTGTAAAATAAAAGTGTTGCAGTATTAAATAAAATAATATATGCATTATAAGTGTATATGCAAATGTTTTTAAAGAGATAATTACTAAGTACGAACTGAAATATTTACTGCTTAAATTGTGCACGGGGGGGGGGGGGGGGTTATTAATTTCCTGTTAATAGAACATGAAACATTGCAAAATTGGTACCAAATTCATCAACTTCGATATCTTGAACACTCGGATATCTCAAAGTTTTTCCACAGTCCCGCCAAGTTTACCTGTACATACTTTTTATGGTGTTAACTGACATAGAAGTGCAGAGATTTTTAATTGATCATGTCTTTCCTTTTTATTAATTGATTTTGATTCATAAATCAATTCAGAGACAATTTGCATGGTCTAATTTCTATTTTATTTTCATTTTGGGGAAGATTGTTGAGGCAAAAATATAGAGATAAGTAAAAAAGAAGACAGATAACCAAGAGTTGGCTACCATTTATTGGTTATCAACAGGTGTAGGAGATGTTGAAAATGTGTCGACCTGGGGTCATGTTTGACTTGCAATCAGTTTACCCCATACTTATATGAAAGAATTGAATATGCTTGCCAGAATTGTTGAGATTTCAGTTTCATGCGTAGCAGATTCTACAGAGTGAGAGCTTCTAACCTTGCACATTTGTTTCTTGTATAAAATGTTCAATGCACAGTTGGAAAAAATAAAACTTTAACCTAGTACAGAAAATTCTTACTTTGCTCAAATGAGTACATCTTCCAACCCCAACCCCCTAAATGAGGTAAAATAATATTCTATTATCACAATTATTTTGCACAAGTTTGCACATGAACATGAGCACTGTATTTATTTTTAGAGAATAAACAAATACATTTATTCACATTAGCCTTGTGCATGTGCTATATACTAAAGTTACTTTCACACAAATTGTTTGCTTTTTTAGGAGGCTTATCATTATGTTAACATGGAAACCCAGTTATTGCAGAAAGGGAAAGAACCACAGTCAGCAACAGCCAAGGCCAACAAGGAGAAAAGGAAGCAAGAGATAGGGGGGTTCTTCAAGTTTGTAGTAAAACAGGCAGAAAAAAGTAAGTAGGACATCAATTTTGAACTTTTTAGCTCACCTGAGCTGAAAGCTCAAGTGAGCTTTTCTGATCAACTGTTGTCCATCATCCGTCTGTAAACTTTTCACATTTTCAATTTCTTCTCAAGATCCACTTGGTCAATTTTAACCAAAGTTTGTACAAAGCTTTCTTTGGAGAAGTGAAGTTTAAATTATTAAAATGAAGGGCCAAGTCCCCTTCCAAGGGGAGATAATCAAGAATAGACAAAAATAGGGTGGGGTCTCGAAAAAAATCTCAAGAACCACTGGGACAGAAAAGCTGAAACTTATGTGGAGTCTTCTTGAGGTAGTGTAGATTCTAAATTGTTCAAATCATGCTCCCCCCCCCCCCCAGGAAAACCTTTAAAATTAAATTCTTTATCTTCCATATGGGTCAAGCAATACAATTCATAATAAGAAAAAAAACAAAGAACAATGAATGTATTTATACAATGGGCGCAATTTAAGTAATTTACTCCTTATATGTTACACCGATGTGGACCTTTTATTTCTTAATTCTAATGATTGTTTTATAAAAGTGAAAACAGCCGGTAAACTTCAATTGTTGGGCTAAGTATATATTCAAGTTTCTGTTTGGGTGATTTGAGATAGAATGAGGAACAATTATCTAACATGGTTTTTAGCTCACTGAGCTGAAAGCTCAAGTGAGCTTTTCTGATCACATTTTGTCTGTAGTCCGTCTGTCTGTCCGTCTGTAAACTTTTCACATTTTTGACTTCTTCTCCAGAACCACTGGGCCAATTTCAACCAAACTTGCCACAAAGCATCCTTGGGTGAAGGGGGTTCAAGTTTGTTCAAATGAAGGGCCATGCCCTCTTCCAAGGGGAGATAATTAAGAATTGGTGAAAATTTGGTGTCATCTTTTAAAAATCTTCTTCTCAAGAACCATTGAGCCAGAAAAGTTTAAAATTATGTGAAACCTTCATTACATAGTGTAGATTCAAGTTTGTTCAAATCATGACCCCCGGGGGGTAGGGTGGGGCCACAATGGGGGATCAAAGTTTTACATAGGAATATATAGGGAAAATCTTTAAAAATCTTCTTCTCAAGAACAACAAAGCCACAATTAGTCATATTGATATGGAATCATCCTCAAGTAGTGTAGATTCAAATTTGTTCAAATCATGACCCCCAGGGGTAGGGTGGGGCCACAATGGGGGATCAAAGTTTTACATAGGAATATATAGGAAGTTTCTTTAAAAATCTTCTTCTCAAGAACAACAAAGCCAAAATTAGTAATATTGATATGGAATCATCTTCAGGTAGTGTAGATTCAAGTTTGTTTAGATCATTACCCCTGGGGGTAGGGTGGGGCCACAATGGGGGATCAAACTTTTATATAAGAATATATAGGGAAAATCTTTAAAAATCTTCTTCTAAGAACAACAAAGCCACAATTAGTCATATTGATATGGAATCATCCTCAAGTAGTGTAGTTTCAAGTATGTTCAAATCTTGACCCCTAGGGGAAGGGTGGGGCAACAATGAGGGATAAAAGTTTTATATAGGAATAATCTTTAAAAATCTTTTCAAGAACAGGAAAGCCATGATTTGTCATATTGATATGGAAGCATCCCCAAGTATTGTAGATTTAAGTTTGTTCAAGGCATCCTCCAGTAGTAGGGTGGGGCCATAATGGGGGATCAAGGTTTTACAAAAGAACATATATAGGAAATATCTTTAAAAATCTTATTCAATCTCAAGAACAACAAAGCCATGTTAAGTCATATTGATATGGAAGCATCCTCAGGTAGTGTAGATTCAAGTTTGTTCAAATCATGAACCCATGAATCATGAATTATCTAGTACTATTTTCTTCAACTTCTTTTTATCTGAATTTTGAATGTTGTCAAATTTTTCATTTTTTTAAGCTCACCTGAGCTGAAGGCTCAAGTGAGCTTTTCTGATTGAAATTTGTCCGTTGTCTGTCGTCGTTGGCGTCGTCGTTGTTGTTGTCGTAAACTTTTCACCTTTTCATCTTCTTCTCCAGAACTACTGGGCCAATTTCAATCAAACTTTGCACAAAGTATCCTTGGGTGAAGGGAATTCAAGTTTGTTCAAATGAAGGGCCACACCCTCCTCCAAGGGAAGATAATTACGAAATGACAAAAAATTAATGGCATTATTGAAAAATCTTCTTCTCAAGAACCAATGGGCCAGGAAAGATGAAACTCATGTGGAATTATTGTCAGGTAGTGTGGATTCAAGTTTGTTCAAATCATGGCCCAGGGGGGTAGGGTGGGGCCACAATGGACGATCAAAGTTTTACATAGGAATATATAGGAAAAATCTTCAAAAATCTTCTTCTCAAGAACAGCAAAGCTGTGATTGGTCATATTTATATGGAAGCATCCTCAGGTGGTGTAGATTCAAGTTTGTTCAAATCATGACCCCCGGGGGTAGGGTGGGGCCACAATGGACGATCAAAGCTTAACATAGGTGTATAAAGGAAAAATCTTCAAAAATCTTCTCAAGAACAGCAAAGCTATGATTGGTCATATTTATATGGAAGCATCCTTAGGTGATGTGGGTTCAAGTTTGTTCAAATCATGACCCCTGGGGGTAGGGTGGGGCCACAATGGAAGATTAAAGTTTAACATAGGAGTATATAGGAAAAATCTTCAAAAATCTTCTTCTCAAGAACAGCAAAGCTATGATTGGTAATATTTATATGGAAGTATCCTCAGGTGATGTGGGTTCAAGTTTGTTCAAATCAAGACCCCCAGGGGTAGGGTGGGGCCACAATGAAAGTTCAAACTTGTAGAGAAAAAAGTCACAGTTAGTCAAAAAATCATGTAAGCATCCTTAGTTAGTGTAGATTTAATTTTGTTCAAATCATACTCCCCACTCCCTTTTAGGGGTAGGTTGGGACCACTTATGCATTTAAGCTTTTCAATACTAAACTGATTTTTCTTCTATTCCTAGCCACAGTGCTCAGGTGAGCGATGTGGCCCCTGGGCCTCTTGTTCCTGTAGTCATTGCTATTTAAATTATTTTCTTTAAATATAGGCAGTGTGAGGGTATGCCACGAGTAAAATCCCTCTTCATGAAAAGACATATTGATATTATAATAAAATTTTTGAAAATCTCAAAAACCACTGGGCCAGAAAAGCTGAAACTTATGTTGAATCTTCCTGAGGTTGTGTAGATTCTAAATTGTACAATTCATGGCCCCTGAGGTAGGATGGGGCCACAATAGGGAATCAAAGTATTACAGGGGAAAAGTCTGATGAAAAAAACCAGGGCCAAAGTATCTTGGGTGAGGGTTGTGGGCCATTGACCTCTTGTTTGTACTCTAGTCATATGAAATTAGATTGCATTGTTTCAGACTTTGTATCCAAATAATAATTTATATACACAATGACTTCATTGACAGGGGGACCAAAATTAAAGGCATCTCAGTTAATAAAGCAGATACAAGAAGTACTGAGGGATGAATTTATGCTTTCTGCATATGGTTTGGACTACAGCAATATACTGTTGAAGAATATTTTGACAGTCAGAAAGTATTGCGCAGAAATCACAGAGAAGACTTGGCATGGTAAACTTTGATTGTTTTGATTATCCTATGGCTATTCCAGAATTATGTCTCCCCTTCCAGGGGAGACATCATATTGTTTTTGTCGATTTTCTTCTTCTTCTTCTTCTTCTTCTTCCAAATTTTGTCCAGGCCGTAACTTTAATACCCTTTGACATTAAGACTTCAAACTTGGAACATAGATAGATGACATTGAGAAGGAGTGCACGCCACCAACATTTTTGATCTTGACCTATTTATAAGGTCAAGGTCAATCTTTTACATCAAAATAGAGTTCAGCCCATAACTTGAGATCCCTTTAATATTAGGACTTCAAACTTGTAACATAGGAAGAAGACCTTGAGACAAAATACACTGCATTAGAATTTTGACCTTGACCCCTTTCTGCCTTCAAGGTCAAATAGGGAAAAAACACGATCTGATCATAACTTGAGAACCTTTTGACATTAAGACTTCAAACTTGGAACATGCAGAGATGGTATAAAGGAGGGATGCATGCCACCAAAATTTTTGACCTTGATTCAATTATTATAAGGTCAAGGTCAATCTTTTACATCAAAATAGAGTCCAAGCCATAGCTTGAGTACCCTTTGATATTAGGACTTCAAACTTGTAACAAGGAAAGAAGACATTGATACAAGATGCAAAATACCAAAATTTTTGACCTTGACCTCTTTTCTTCCTCAAGGTCAAATAGGGAAAAAACTTGATTAGACCATTACTTAAGAATCCTTTGTTATAAAGACTTCAGGCATGGAACATGCAGAAGTGATATGAAGGAGGGATGCATGCCACCAAAATTTTTGATCTTGATTCAATTATTATAAGGTCAAGGTCAATCTTTTACATCAAAATAGAGTCCAAGCCATAGCTTGAGTACCCTTTGATATTAGGACTTCAAACTTGTAACAGAGAAAGAAGACATTGATACAATATGCAACACACCAAATTTTTTGACCTTGACCTCTTTTCTTCCTCAAGGTCAAATAGGGAAAAAAATTGATTAGACCATTACTTAAGAATCCTTTGTTATAAAGACTTCAGGCATGGAACATGCAGAAGTGGTATGAAGGAGGGATGCATGCCACCATAATTTTTGACCTTGATTCAATTATTATAAGGTCAAGGTCAATCTTTTACATCAAAATAGAGTCCAAGCCATAGCTTGAGTACCCTTTGATATTAGGACTTCAAACTTGTAACATAGAAAGAAGACATTGTTACAAGATGCAACGCTTCAAAATTTTGACCTTGACCCCTTTGTTAAAGGTCAAATAGAGAAAACATGAATAGACCATTACTTGAGAACCCTGACATTAAGACTTCAAACTTGGAACATGGAGAGGTGGTATAGAGGAAGGGTGAAGGGCAACATTTTTTTCACCTTGACCTATTAATAAAGTCAAGGTCAATCGTTTACATGAAAATATAGTCTAGGTCATAACTTGAGAACTTTTTGACATTAGGATTTCAAACTTGGAACAAGGAAAGACAACATTGAGACTAAATGCACTGCATCAAAATATTTGACCTTGACCACTTTCTTCAAGGTCAAATTAAGAAAAACATGACCAGACCATTACTTGAGATCCGTTTGACATGAAGACTTGAAATTTTGTACACAGAATTTGAGTTGAGATGCACTGCATTATTATTTTTGACCCTGATCATATATTTGCACTCATTAATGTTGATAAAGAAGGGGAGACATGTGTTTTTTTTGTAAAAAAAACAATACCCACTAGTTAAATGTGGTGAGGAGGGGAAAGGAAAAGTAGTGATTTGAAGGTAGATTCTAATTACCTCCATCACATATGTAAATTTTCCGTCTCCCACCATCACATTATATACTTAAGCAACCACCAGCAATTTTTAGCTCATCAAAGTCAAGATTAGCTTATGCTCTACCCCGGCTTCCAGGTTAATGTTTTAGCAGCAAGTCCATTCTCAACTAACTATAAGTGATACCTGGACCAAACTTGCCTGGATGATGCCTCTAGGGATGGATACTACCAGACTTGTTTCAGATGCTGGATCTGACCTATTTATTCCAGATGAGTGACCAGGTTAAAGTTTTTGGAGCAAGTCCATTCCCAAGTCACTGTAAGCCCTACCTAAACCAACCTTGCATGGATGATGCACCTAGAGAGGGACACTACAAAAGTTGCTTCAGATGCTGGATCTGACCTTCATTTCCAAATGCGTGAACAGGTACAAGTTTTTGGAGCAGGTCTATTCCCAAGTAACTTTAGGCCCCACTTGTACGAAACTGGAGGGGATGTTGCATCTATGGATGTACACTATCCAGCCTGCTTCAGATGCTGGATGTGACCCACATTTTCTAGATGTGTGAATATTAGTCCTACTTGAACCAAACTAGCATGAACACTACCAGACTTGTTGCAGATTCTGGATTTACATTTTCCAGACAAGTGAACAGGTTAAAGTTTTTGGAGCTAGTCCATTCCCAAATAACTTTAAGTTCTACTTTAACCAAACTAGCATGGATATTGATTTGCCAGACTGGGCATGCACACTAAATAGAAAAAATTTGGTGTGAGGTTCGCCTTACTTAATATCATGCTTATAGATATAGGTGAGCTTCGAAATCTTTTTTTACGTATGTTTTTTGTAAAAAGTTATGATTACGTTTTTTATGTCACTTAATAACTTAAGTGAATACATAAAGGATATTCAATGTTTTATAGTGGAATATATTTTATGAATAATTATAAAGTAGATCACAGTTCTTCAATTGGCTAATGATTGTAAAAAGATTCAAATGTTTGTTTTTACTCAAAGCGTCTCGTTAATTTAAACACTGTTTAATTTAGACCATAGCATAAGGTCCCATAACTGTGACTGTGCTACAGCCAAATAAATACATCAATATGCACCCCCACATTCAGTTCTGTAACAACCAGTACTAATGTACGAGGATTGTCCCAACAATTTATATAGCATAGTGTTGGAACCTGATGTCATAAATTAATGAGACATTATAGATTGATTAAACCAATAATAACTAATAAAGGACTTTATTATATAGCTAATAAATAGTCTATAATGAAAATCTAAAAGTCTAGAGAATTTTAGCGTTCAATATCTTGGCATTTTATTGAACACTGAGTTTGCATTAGGAATACCAGTATGCCCCGAAACATTCCGAATGCGAGCGTTCATTATCTAACACCCCTCTGTAAACAAAAAATGTTGTCTAGTCAACCTCTCAATGGCAATATTTATGACAGGAAGTGGCAGCTAGGTAAGATGTGTCTATTTTCACACAAAATTAATAATTTAGTACCTATTAGCTTCAATAAAACCCCAATAAGCAAATCATAACCCTTGGTAAGATCATTGGAATGTTGTGATATGGAACACTTACACAGTTGCAGGACAGACGCTGATATTAAACAGTTTTAATTCAACTATCGTTACAGAAAAAATTTTTCATTAATTTTGAGTTATTTAATTGAAATAATTGATACAAAGTAATGGGAAATATTTTAGCTATATAATGAAGGAGTAATTGAACTTATATTGGTGAATATTGGCACTTGTTGGTTGTACAAATGCACTCGCAAGCTCTTGCATTTGTACGGCTAACTTGTGCCAATATTCAACAATATAAGTTCAATAACCCTATAATATGCTGTAATGGTCAATATCAGCCCCCAAAATTAAACTATGTTGGAGAAATCTACAATTTTTTTATGTAGTCTATTTATAGTCCCTATATAATCTATACAAATGCAAACAGTTCATAACACTACATATTCATTTGGTTTTGAAACCGTATTCACCAGAGGGTTGGTGTATTGTGACATCACAATCAACACCTCAAACAATGTTGTTTACTGTGTATCTGAGCAGGAAAAACATTAGCCAAGCCCATTGTAGGATTATTTCCTAAACATTTTGATGTCTTACAAACAGCAAAAGGAAAACACGGAAGTTATAACTTGTAATCTGGATATTTTTAGCTCACCTGAGCCGAAGGCTCAAGTGAGCTTTTCTGATCACATTTTGTCTGTAGTTCGTCTGTCTGTCCGTCTGTAAACTTTTCACATTTTCGACTTCTTCTCCAGAACCACTGGGCCAATTTCAACCAAACTTGCCACAAAGTATCCTTGGGTAAAGGGGATTCAAGTTTGCTCAAATGAAGGGCCACGCCTTCTTCCAAGGGGAGATAATTAAGAATTCGTGAAAAATTAATGGCATCATTAAAAAATCTTCTTCTCAAGAACCACTGTGCTTGAAAATATGAAACTTATGTGGAAGCATCCTCAGGTAGTGTAGATTCAAATTTGTTCAAATCATGACCCCTGGGGGTCGGTTGGGGCCACAATGGGCGAACGAAGTTTTACATAGAAATATATAGGAAAATATCTTTAAAAATCTTCTTCTTTAAAACAGTAAAGCCATGATTGGTCATATTTATATGGTAGCATCCTCAGATAGTGTAGATTCAAGTTTGTTCAAATCATGACCCCTGGGGGTCGGGTGGGGCCACAATGGGCGATCAAAGTTTTACATAGGAATATATAGGAAAAATCTTTAAAAATCTTCTTTTCAAGAACAGCAAAGCCATGATTGGTCATATTTATGTGGTAGCATCCTCAGATAGTGTAGATTCAAATTTGTTCAAATCATGACCCCCGGGGATCAGATGGGGCCACAATGGGCGATCAAAGTTTTACATAGGAATATATAGGAAAAATCTTCTTCTCAAGAACAGCAAAGCCATGATTGGTCATATTTATATGGTAGCATCCTCAGATAGTGTAGATTCAAATTTGTTCAAATTATGACCCCTGGGGGTCGGGTGAGGCCACAATGGGCGATCAAAGTTTTACATAGGAATATATAGGAAAAATCTTTAAAAATCTTCTTCTCAAGAACAGCAAAGCCATGATTGGTCATATTTATGTGGTAGCATCCTCAGGTAGTGTAGATTCAAATTTGTTCAAATTATGACCCCTGGGGGTTGGGTGGGGCCA